ATTGACATCAACCTGATTAATGCTTACAATTGTGACTGTATTATTGAGAGCAAGTGAGTTTTCATGTATGTTTACTTTTCAAAACTAACCGGCGTCTCGTCTTTCGCCAGCAAATATGTAAACGACCTCTTTTGGAATATTCTGCTTTACCAATACGTTTCTTAACTGTTGTGTACCAGTAGGAAGTTCAAAGGCGTTTGCCTATACAGTAATCGCCGGTTATTAAGCCCACCTCGGGCCCAGACCAAATTGGGCCTTAATAAGCGGTTGGGCTTATTAACCGTGGGCTTAATAACCGGCGATTACTGTATTATTTGAGACAGGCTGTCGCAAAGTATGGCCTGTGCGGTGAACGTCCTTCGTGCATGCAATAAGTATTGGTGAACAGGTTTTTCAGCTGAGGAAAATGGCCCCAAGTGTTCCCGCTAAACTGAGTCCAATGCCTAACAGCAGGGCTACTGTTATATTAATATTAGAAACAGAATCCAGCAAGCTGGAGGCTAAATTTAAGATGAAGGTCCATGTTACCAACTTACGCATGACTTCTCCTTCAACTTGCGTCTGAAACTACCAACTGTGTTGTTCTTTATGTTAAGGCGACTCACGCCCATCTGTTGTCGTCCAAATTATATCCTGTTTATATAATATGACGATCGGAAAGGGAGCGTGAGATCGTTACATTGCAAACCTCCGTCGAAATCACCGACATCTTCTCAATTAATAGTGCTAGTCTTCGATAACGACACGAAATATTCATAGTGTCTAATAAAGGACAGTAGGAGACCTAAACTTATGGCCTTAGTCGACGTCCAGTGGCAATATTTAGAAGAGGACTGTAACGAAAACACATCTGGCTGCTTTTTTGAAAAATCATGCGTATCAACTGTGTCCTCCTGCAGTACTAGTAATCCAGACCCCTTGGTGCAAACGTGGTGGGACAGCATATTTTTCAGAGCACTAGTATCAAGCTTCTGTAATGGCGTACTGTTTATCTTAACAGAAGATAATTCGAGCTTGGGGCGTAATATGAGTAAGTTAACTGCTCACTGACTAAGACAGTAAAGAATAATTTGAAATGTTAGGTGTCTTTGAAAAAGTACGTTTGTTTTCTTACACACAGGAAAGATTACTTACCTTGGCATCGATACACTGTTTTAGACTAGGTACAACCTTTGCCCAGATTGCCTGTTCGCGTCCGACATACTGTAAGATTTCCTTGTCTGCTGTGATTCCCATAGCCTTGAAGAGAATAACGATAGGTACATCAACGGTGAAGGAATTGTGCTGGAGAAAGAACCGACCGTCTTTCAAGAGGATGTTTGTTTTGGACTTCGTTTGAGCCGATGACGAAGTTACCGAGCAGATCATACCTTTACTTGTGTCTCCTTCAACGATTATACGATTTTTTGACATTTGCTCCTGCATGAGGATTACCTTTTCACTGCCGTTTATGATAAAGTAGCCACCGGGATCATGAGGGCATTCCTTGAGTTTCATTAATTCGGAAGGCGATTTGCCTGTGCAATAAAATAATGTGTAAACGCGACCGGACGACAAATTTTATTGTATGAATCTGGATTTTAAATAAAAGCAGCAGGATTCAAAACGCAAATAAGTAGCTATGCTTCCTCCCAACCGTTATTTTTGAATTGATTGAGAGTTTTCACCGAAGCGAACGCTATAAGTCAAGAAAGCTTTTTGCCATTATAGTGGAACTAATTCTTCCATTTCTTTGCTGAGTACAGGAAACAACTAAAAAAATGCTTGCACGCGCGGCTCAGGTGAAAGATACAGGAATTCCTTATGAGTCTTAAACAAAAATTACAACGCTCGGCATTTAAAAACTTCTTTGACAAAAGTCAGCAACATGTACAGGTGTGTTTCAGTTGACACTAAAATGGACTCACACAAATACAAAACGTAACAAAGGAAATCGGTTGCGAGGTCGAAGGGTGAATTGAATCAGGTAACACTTTCTATGACGGAGGAATAGAAAGGATTATGCAAAGGCCGACTAAAGTAATCCAAATCAGATTCTCAAGCTAAGAAACCAACCTGGCAATCGCCGGCTAATACACGCCAGTTATTCTAAAACGCATTAAACACGTGGGCAAGGAAAGTGTCCGGCG